GTGCGACGACGTCCTGTCTCATCGTCGTTGAGCCCGTTGGAAATCATGGAGACCACGCGGGTTTGCGGTTTCCTTCCAGCGGCCGATTAACCCTTATGTCAATAACCGAGCACTCCGGGTACCCTTTTCCGTCTCTCGTTCAAAAATTATGCTTCCTTTCCCGGACAAAAGCATCAGAGACATTTACAAATTCAGCTCCTGTAAGTCCACATTGGATATATCGATTCTGGGCACATAAGGATCAGCAAAGAATCTTTTGAAAATATTTTACATACGGTAAAAATCATATTTTTAAGAATCCCTAACTGTGGGGCCCAGATGAGGCCCCAAACCTTGATTCTTGATCAGACATAACTGACACAAAATTGTTGGTAGATATCGACAATCCTTCGATTATACTGTCTAATAAAATACGACACCTGTAAGTCCAGATTGGGCCCTATATCGATTCTGGGCATATAAGGATCAGCAAACAATCTTTTCAAAATATTTTATATACGGTAAAAATCATATTTTTAAGAATTCCTAACTGTGAGGCCCAGATGAGGCCCCAAAACCTTGATTCTTGATCAGACATAACTGATACAAAATTGTTGGTAGATATCGACAATCCATCGATTATACTCTAATCTATATATAGTCTAATAAAATATATTTATAGACTATATATATTTTATAGATTATAGTCTAATAAAATACGACACCTGTAAGTCTAGATTGGGCCCTATATCGATCTCGTACACACAAGAGACATCAACCAATCTTTTGAAAATATTTTCTAACGCGATAGCCATCGTATTTTTTCGAATTTCTGACTATGAACCCAGATGAGGCCCCAAAACCTTCATATTAGAACAGACATAACTGATGAAAAATTCTTTAATACAAACCGTCGATCTCTCGATTATAGTGTCTAACAAAACACAGCACCTGTAAATCCAAATTGGGCCCTATATAACACATAAGAGACATCAACCAATCTTCTGAAACCATTTTCCAACGCGATAGCCATCGTATTTTTGAGAACGTTTGACTCTAGGGCCCAAATAGGGCCCCAAAAACTTTACTTTCTAAGGGTTGCAGGGGGAAACGAAACGAACGGTGCATGTTCTGGTGGCAGGTGAGTCTGTAAGGTTGAGGTTTCGTGTCAGACGGATTCGCCTCGAGAGGATTGCACGCTCGGCGCCCCGGTGCATTCTCGGCGTCGTTGGCCGCGCTGGCGAGCGTGCGCGCGCGCGCGCGGGGACTTAGTTGGGAACGAGGAAGACCTAGTTCGAAGGTAGAACGCTTGCAACGGCACTAGGTCACGCATCGCAATTCCTGAACGGCGCGAGCGTCGTCTACGTGTGCGTCGCGTGCATGTGCATGTGCATCGGGCCCCGCACGCGGCACGCATACGCGATCGAGTGAGGCCCCGACGATGGTCGCCAGCTCGACCAGGGAACTCGTTAACTTCGCGAACAATCGCCGTCGCGATCTTTCGAACTCTTAAAATTCATTTGTTTAACTATCGACGATGAAAATTTGTAATTTTTTTTTTTAAAGCTGAGGAAGGAAAAAATTATCGTATCGAATTTATTGACATTTTTGGTATTTACAAGTCAGGGGAATTATAATCTGAATTTAGTTTCTTTTATTGCAATTATCGCGAAGAAAGACAGCTATTTGTGATATTGATAATCTTATTGATTTCAGTGATTTCGAAGTTGGAAAGGGAAGGTTTGAGAGCGTTTCGGAGCAAAATGGTCCTTCACTCTTAGTTTCCAAGATATAATTATTAGATAGGAGTCGTAGTACGCAACCGCGCCCTCGTAAGCATGAGTTTGAAACGATTCAATCTGTACACGTAAGGCGCTAGGCGTGTTCGGACTCTTGATCGCTGGAATGAGCAATTACCACTCTGATTCTACCAATCGGAAACATTTTAACGTCTTTCGTTGCATCAAAGCACTATACATTAAAGTAGAACTAAACATGTGGCATCGTCTGCGTATAGAATTGGTTTCACTTCGGTAAATGTGTCCCACTATTACGATTAACGCGGTCAGTTATTCAAGCAATAACCCCATTGCATATGCAAACGAAACGCAATATTTAATTCTATTTCTAACGAGACGAATTTCTTTGCAACCACTAACGTTAGAATTTGTTTAACACAATATATATTTTATTTCACATTTGCAATTGTTAATTTCTATCCCCCGTCATGAACAGTAAATATTTTAGTTATTCGAATAATAGATCCCAGTGGAGACTGTAATTATTTATTAAAATTACTATTTTGCATATGACACGCATTTATAAATACGGATCTAAGGATCTAAGTCAGGAAAAACAGTATTTGAAAATTTCTCCAAAGTTGGGGAACCGAACTCGAGACCTCGAGAGTCATAGATACGCATCTAATGCACGGAGCCACGAAGGACTCTTTATGAAGGAGACTGTTCATTGTAAAACAACCTGTTGTGTAATTGCAATTTTTGGACAGTTGTGTTCAGATGAGAATATTGGCCATTTCTGGCGATTATTACGTGTTTCGCGTGTTTCCTGGTCCCCGACGGAGGCGCGTTAGAAAGTTCCCTTGGATAATGTAATAGGTTCCATGATCGTTTCCACGGATCCGCGTCCAGGTTCCGCGCGTCGAACGCGGTTAACGATAACGGTCCCCAGGGCAGCCCCGTCCATTCATCTCGAACGTTCTCATAGGGCTTTCATCCTTTTTCCACCTCCGCCTACCGACGCCCCGGCACGAGCGTGTCGATCGCTCCGAGGGCTAACGGTAACGCGGCGTCATTTTGTCCTGATTGCGTTTAGGGAACTTTTCCACTCGCCGTCAACGAAAGTAGCGGCCGCGAGAGAGTGAATTTCGTCACCACGGGCCCACGGACCGAATTTACATCCGAAAGATGTACTGTTAAACGACCGCTCGAAGCGAAGGTGAAACGAGTGGGCCGTACGGGTTCAATGGAACCGATAAAACGGACATAGATTTTCGACGACGCGTCTCCGATCACCAATTTTCGCGTCGTTTTACAGGAATTTATTCATAATACTTCATCCACTGTACTTCATCGACGACAGTTTAAATATAAAAAAAGCCATATTTAAATCATACTTAGCCCTCGGGGTATGGGTCCATTTCGATCCGAGTCTCGTTTCGTTAATTTCTATCACTGTATAAATTCGTGTTTCTTTAATAATTCGAGTGTGAACAGTTTCTGCGGGTCAAAGTGGACCCCAAACTCGAAATCCAAAATATCATCGACGGACAAAAGGTCGCAAGTCTGGTATAATTTCGTCTCAGGCTTAAAACAGACTGTAAAAATAGAAAATTTGAACCTTGTAATCTGAGATTCGCGAAGAAAAGTACGAACGATGATCAGAGTTGAACGTTTGTGTATTAGCGATCGAGGGCTGTTTTCGCGATTATCTAACGTCGAGATTGTATTTTCGAAACGTCCACGTAACTCGTTGTCGAGCAACCGAACAGATTTCCGAGGTGTCGAGGCGTAGGCAGAGGGATTTTTCTCGTCTGCCTCGAAGATGGACGCCGGTGCCGCGGTAACAATGCCAATGGGATGAACGTCCTGATCCCGTCGCTGTCCCCAGGACAACGACCCCTCTATAAAATTTGACGAACACTCGGTTTTCACCACCGATCTACTTCGATCGCGGGTCCCGCGGCTCTGGGCGTCTACCGTGTCGTCGATCATCTATCTTCGCCTGTTCCATTTTAATGGCCACGCTATTAAAGATTCTTTTCAAACTCTCCGCCTTGCTAATTCCGTCCGGGCCGAAATACTGCTATACTCCAGACTCGGGCTAATTTTCTTTAATTTACTTAAACTCGTCCACTAATCTAGGTTCCTTTCGTTGATACAATATTAACGTCCAGTTATGGATTTTCTATTTCCTTTGACGTCAGAAGCTGGATTAAAAATTATCCGTTTATTTGGAAATGAAATTTTATCCTCGAGTTTAGGAATTTTTAATTATTATAGAATTAAGTACTGCTCGGTTTAGAAATTTCTTACCATCGAGTTCATTAAAAATCATATTTAATTCTTGACGAATTTTTGGAAGAAGTTTAATATTCCGTCGAAAATCATGAAATTTAACCAAATTTACGGAGATCGATGGTCTAAGTGTTTTGACTTGTGATAGTATTTTATTGAACGTGTGACAGTGGTTTTCCTGATACTAGAGGATTGCGTCACACCAACGAGGAAGCGAGCGGACAGTTTAATAATAGCGCGGGGATGTTTCGCGGCACGATGGATAGGAAATTTGATCGGAATCGACGATACTCTGAAAAGGGAGTAATATATGCGGATTTTATGCGAACGCGCGATCCCCTCAGGGCAACGATTAATGGGCAAAGGATGCATTATGCAAAAAGATGATAATCCAAAACTCCTAAGCTGCTCAAAGCGTATTCGGCAATCAAGAAACATTTTGAATATCTCGGTGCTCGAAGCGGGTCGAGGGATTGAAACCATCGATGATAAATATATTTTTTTTTAATTTACTCCCGAATGTGTGGAAGATCTACAGACTTAATTTTAATCGTTTCACTGTCTATGATGATCTCGAAGGGTGAAGAATAATTCCTTGCAAAATTCTTAAAAATTTGCAAATACTTTGGTGACCCAGATATTTTTAATTTACACTCAGGTCTCTGCGAGGTCTTAATTTTAAATGTTCCATTATCTATGATGACTCTGGAGGGCAAAGAATAATTCTCCGATCCTTCCAATATTTTTTAAGAATTATAAATATTTTAAATCAACTCTAGAATCTCTGGAAGGTCTCAAAGCTCAAATTTCAAACGTATCACCACTCGTAATAGTTCCAAAAGAGTAAAAAGTAGTTCTGTGTAGCATTCTAGAGTTTGACCTAGGGGAACCACGAACCGTGGATCGAGGGTCGATGGTGGAGGAAGGGGGGGAGGGTTCGTGGCGTGTTGGATGATAACGAGGGCGCGTGGTTTTCGTTTTCAGATGGCGCGCGTCGCCGGGGAACCGGCCGGATGGAGTTCGTCCGAGCGGAGCGCGATTAAAAGTGAAGCCTCTTTGACCACGTGGCCGGAGGTCATAGTGGCGTAGGCAGACGTTAACTCTCTTCGTCTGGTTGGCGGGCAAGGTGGAAGAGCGCCGTGGCGGCGGCTGTGCGAGGCCTGGTTCGTCGAGCGGTATGGTAAGTGTGTTAACAACGTAAGCAGGGTGAACGCCCTCGATAGACCTAGACCCAAAAACCGCTCGTTCCATGGGCACTGCCACTGGCACTGGGTTAAGGCGAAGTCATGTGACGTGGTGCAGGCACATAAGTCGTGCACAACACATACACACGTGGTGGGGGGGACGCGAGAGGCACACGCACACCGAACCGGGAAGACCATTACTTTCACGCGTATGCGTTCGTTTCTGCTCGCACGGACGAGCACCGGGGTTCGTCGGCCTGACCATCTCCGCGGAATGCCACGGAATTGTTCCCCGACTTGTCACGATTTCCTTCTGCGGCGACCGCCGTCTCTACTACTAGGACGCCCGTCGGTTTTCAACGCGGATTTGTGCTTTTCTTCCACGGGGGTTCAGCGATGGGACCGACCCAACGTCCCCAAACCAGATAATGAAATCTATCCGGACTCTGTATCTTATATTTATTACGGTATTCGTGCGATTAGACAAGGTAGAAATTTGTTTCGACTCATTTTGAAGTCACGATGATGAATTCGGGGCATGAGAAACTTCCGAAAACGTCTGGACATTCGTCATAATATGTCGATTTGATAGCCCTAGCAGCTCCCTTGCCTTGGACACTGATCGATCGAGTACTTGTGAGAGAGTCAAGAATAGCGTAGCCCTCTGCTGGTGAGTCCCGGAAATTATCGTCTCAGTAGTACCTTGCATCCATTCGATGTTAGGCCCCTCACTCAGACACCTGTCGAGAAGCGTATATAAAAAGGTCCATCGAGAGTTTGTGAGAGAGTCAAGAATAGCGTAACCCTCTGCTGGTGAGTCCCGGAAATTATCGTCTCGGTAGTACCTTGCATCCATTCGATGTTAGGCCCCCCACTCAGACACCTGTCGAGAAACGTATATAAAAAGGTCCATCGAGTGTTTGTGAGAGAGTCAAGAGCGCGTAGCCCTCTACTGGCAAGTCCAGAAACTATCACCACTTTTCAAGTACTTTTCCAACGAAACTTTTACTTTACGAACCAGCTGGGTCTTTCCAGACCCACATCTTTTTAACAAGAATATTCATACCATCAAATGAGATGGAAACTTGTTCCACTCGTTTCGAAGGCACCCCATGAATTATATAGTCGGTTAGGTGCATAAAGAATGCATGAAAACGTCTGGATATTAGTGGTACTCGAACATAGAGGAAAATGTAGTCTATAAATAGATAGTTTTTACACGCTCGGGAGATTTACAATTGCAATTACACGGTAATTCGACCGGTTATTACCGCGTGATTACAGGTAGTCGCGTCGTGACAAATCTAATCGGATTACACTTTGTCCGACTTTGTATCCGAACATAGGCTATAAATTATACGTACGTTTGTGTTCGTTTTGCGTATGATATCGTAGCTTCACGCGGGAGGCCTTTGATCTCGCTCGCAATTAGCGAAAGTTAGAGTAACCGGGGTCCCATTTCGGCAACCTGACGCCTGGTGCTTCTTCGAATCTTTATGAATCATTAGTTCCCCGCCTCTCCTCCACCGTCAAAGCACTTTCTTTCCGATACTTCAATGCCGTAACAGTATCGGGAATTCCGTCGGAACTGCACGCAGTCATCGATTCTAATAATCGATCGTCCGTTTCGTCTTAAACCTTCCGTTCTAGATATTTTGTTTCCCCGGTACACGCCACCCAATTATACGTCACATGTACCAGGAGTTGGTATATTTAACACTTTATAGAAATAGCTAACCCCTTAACGTTCATATTTTTCGGGTTAATTAAGAATAATCAGTTTTCTTTATTGGATTTGTTTCTAAAAATGCGGTTTTTGTTAATTACAATGTTGTATCCAACGTATAATTTGAAGGAAAACAAATATTATCATCCCTTAAACCATTAGATTAAACAAATATCGTTTTTCAAAGCAGTCAGACTCGAGCATGAACGTTAAGGGGTTAAAATTTGTTAAATTGCTGACACTTTAAAATCCTCGCGTTCTCGAATTATTACAAAAAATTAAATAGCAAACGTGTGAAAAGTTCCTTGCTTCCTCAGAACAAGCATAAACGCGTTTTACGCGTAACATAAGGAACCGGGAGAGTTTTGCCTTTGCTGTGCCGCATATTTGCATGGATAGGAATGCATTCTCCTGATTTATAGAGAGGAAATGGCAGATGCAATCGAGCTTTTCCTTTGGCACATGCCTCCGTGCCTCGTTTTCTTCGGAGTTTGCTATTACATCTCTGAAAACGAACGTCTTCCTGTTTCCCTTGGTATTTCGCCGTTCTATATTAATACTTGTACACCCCTGGGCGAAAGTGAACTAAATTTATTATCGCTCGTTATTACCAGCTTCTATAAAACTTCTCCGTGTTCCACAAATATAATTGAAATATTATTTAAATAGTCGAGCGTTCGTAATGTACGAATTCTCCGATGTGGATTGTAAATTCTGTAAACTCTTATTTACCATTTGAAATTCGACGCGATGAATTTAACGCCCTCGCGAGGACATTGAAATTTTGGCGTGGAAATTGGAGTTAGGAACTTTCCAGTGTACGAAAACGATACTTTCGGTTGCGATAAGCTCCTTTGGCAAATTTGGAGCGAGCTAGCACGGATCGGTGATCTAAAGATTACACGAGAATTTCCCTCGTTTTCTACGATTCCTGTTCCACATTTCGACCGATCACGGCTCGTTGACGTCATTATTCGCTCCGAGGCGGCCGTCGAAAGAAAACAACAATACTTTTTCTCCGTGGTCGTCGACCCCGAGTGCTGGTCGGTGGTTTTATCCGCGAATAAACAAATTTATGATCACCACACACCGACACACCGGTGTGAAATTCTCCAACGGAGCCAAAATATTGTTTTTTTATAGGAAAAATCTTAATTTCGCATTGTCGTAAAATTTGAGGTTAAATTGTCGAGCTGCATTTTTGAGAAATTTAATTAAACATCAACTTGTAGGGTAGGTTTCCCACCCTCTTCTTTTTCTTGGCAAATTTTCTTGGAAATTGTTTTGCAAAATAATATATGATCGAGCTATAGTGCAAAGGGGCATCGATTATGAAAGTACTGTTCCCTGAAAACTAAACTACGTTGACCGTGCAAAAGTCGCGCGACAGTCGACGGCCATTTTCAGGTCCAATAATCGTGGTCTCCTTACCAAACTGTCTTGAAAATAGAAATTGATCTGACGCGAGAATACAAATATTTATCGCCCTGTTCCGCTCTATATTTTCGTACCGGAAGTGAGCGTTCCATGTTACGACGAAGGAATGTGTTCCAAAATTACTCTAAAGGGATCGTTCTATTGCCTATTTTTACGAATGTTTCTATCATTGTTTCGTACATCCATTGTTCGCCCATTTACGCTTGTCAATCTTAAATCACGCGCTGTGGGCCATTCGAGATCAAATATCCCACAAAACTGTATTTCCTTTTGCATTTCTGTGAAGAAGATATGTTTACGAATTAGTAAATTAAAAACTGGACAAATTGGCGATTTTAGAGCTACGTCTGAACCATTAGAAACATCATTGTACAAAGGAAATATACAAGCTTAATATTCAAGTTTGGTCTCACAAAGGCGGGCCAAAATGTCTGACCCAGTACGGTCTCAAGCTACTTCCATGATTAGTCCTCTCCGCGAGACATTAGGTGCATTCAATCTTCGTTTTCGAATTTAATTAAAGCTAACCACAGTTCCCTCATAAAAACAAAAATAATACACAGAAGCTTTAACACTCTGACTACGGTCAATTTCAACGCAAGCACAAGCTCCGTGCGGAAAAGTTATTCACGCCTCGAGCAACAAAGGGTTAATATTTAAATGTCGTACCATTTATCTTACTAAGATTCTGAATAGTCGAACACCTGTTTCTATTTGGCGTAACGATAAGTTCACGATCGAGATCGAAGACCGCGGAGAAAAGCTCGCAGAAAAAGCTGAAAATCTGAACGCGCTGGCTCCGCTCGAGGAGGATCGGGGACGCTCGCTACAGGATGATTATCCAGGCTCGCATAACTGGCGAGGAAAGGCATGGATGTGTATAGTACGTCCCCCGGCCGTCGGTGGATGGAAGTCCATCCTTGATGGAGGTTACTCCGGGCCATCGTCCCACATCTCCTTGGATATGAACTTCGTGTCTTCGTTCGACTTGCCGGTCGTCTCCCTTCGGGTTCTCCTTCCTCGTCTCCTTCGTCCTTCTTCCTGCCGTCTCTGCCGCGTTTTCCCCTCCCAGGCCTCCCCGCCAGCCGCGTCCAGCCACCGACCCCCCACCACGCGACATTTCGTTTCGTTTCCGACTACGTCGTCCACCGATTAGCCGCCCCCACCACGAATTCGATCGCCGCCCGCGACTTTTCCCCTTCTTTCCTCCTGCAGTGCGCCGTTCCGCCGTCCGAGGGCGCTGACAGTGGCGCGAGCAGACCGCGATTACGGATTCCGAGAGTCGATCGAATCGTTCCACCCGGTCGATTCGCACGCCGCGGCCACGCTGACTTTTAGCCACGTTTTCGACCAAAACCGAAGGTATCGAAACGAAAGTTGACGGTTAAAAACATTATTACGATGTTAGGTTAGCGTAATATAATTTGTGTTTCATTTTAATAAACCTTACGTAAATGTTAAACAATGATACTTGAATCGTTGGAAATTGTGAGGGAAATTTGTAGGCTAATAATTTGCTCTTTTGTTTTTACAGATTAGGTCCACAGAGGCGGGAGGTGAAATCCAGTTACTTTTCAAGGTACTTTTTCGGGACGGTTAGTAGCCCATATCTTTTGCAATATTTTATATTTTTCCATGAAAAAATTCACATAACTTCACGAAATAGATGCAATTAACTATGCAAAGTTTAAATTCAATATCTCAAATAGTTTTTCTTTTATAAAAATTTTACTCCTCTATTCATCGCCGAAAATCTTTCGTCGAATGTTACAAGAATCGATAGTTGACTAGCCCATATCTTCCGAAACTATTTTATATTCTTCCATGAAAAAATTCACGTTACTTGAGGAGATAGATGCAATTAACTGTGCAAAGTTTAAATTCAATATTTCAAATAGTTTTTCTTTTATAAAATTTTTACTCCAGCTATTCATCACCGAAGATCTTTCGTCGAATGTTACTAGAATCGTTAGTTGACTAGTCCATATTTTCCAAACTATTTTATATTTTTCCATTAAAATATTCACGTAACTTGAGAAGATAGATGCAATTAACTGTACAAATTTTAAATTCAATATCTCAAATAGTTTTTCTCTTATAAAATTTTTACTGCTCCAAATATTCATCACCGAAGATCTTTCATCGAATGTTACAAGAACCGATAGTTGACTAGTCTATATCTTCGAAACTATTTTATATTTTTCCATGAAAAATTTCACATAACTTCACGAGATAGATGCAATTAACTATGCAAAGTTTAAATTCAATATCTCAAATAGTTTTTCTTTTATAAAATTTTTACTCCAGCTATTCATCACCGAAGATCTTTCGTCGAATGTTACAAGAACCGATAGTTGATTAGCCCATATTTCCGAAACTATTTTATATTCTTCCATGAAAAAATTCACGTTACTTGAGGAGATAGATGCAATTAACTGTGCAAAGTTTAAATTCAATATTTCAAATAGTTTTTCTTTTATAAAATTTTTACTCCAGCTATTCATCACCGAAGATCTTTCGTCGAATGTTACTAGAATCGTTAGTTGACTAGTCCATATTTTCCAAACTATTTTATATTTTTCCATTAAAAAATTCACGTAACTTGAGGAGATAGATGCAATTAACTATGCAAAGTTTAAATTCAATATCTCAAATAGTTTTTCTTTTATAAAATTTTTACTCCAGCTATTCATCACCGAAGATCTTTCGTCGAATGTTACAAGAACCGATAGTTGATTAGCCCATATTTCCGAAACTATTTTATATTCTTCCATGAAAAAATTCACGTTACTTGAGGAGATAGATGCAATTAACTGTGCAAAGTTTAAATTCAATATCTCGATTAGTTTTTCTTTAATAAAATTTTTACTCATCGTCGTTTGGGTCAAGTTATTCTTTCACGGTCAATTTCGGGGAGTTGGCCAACGCGGAGGGTTCGAGATTCGAAAGTTACATCACTGTTTATTTCCCCCTCTCCTCGCCCGAACGGACTCCCTCTCGACTTCGCTGCTGAACGTCGCGGAAAGTCGACGGGCAAGGTGGCACGACCCGGATTACGCTCGAGTCGTCGGTTCCTTCGCACTTTTCTTCGCTCCAGAGTCCTCTCTCAGGGTCAAGGCACTCTCCGGTTCCGTAAATCCTTCCTGATTCTTCGGCGGAAGGCTCGAGCTCATAGCTGGCGCGTACGTAATCGTTACTTTTATTATTATTACTCAAGAAACTGCTTCGAAGTTCATATTTCCACGTGTAACTTTCCCGTGGCTTACAAAATTAATATTTCAATTTCGAAAGAGTCGGTGGGGCTCTAAAAAGCTTGGTAACCTTATTTTTTTGTTCAGATTAATATCTCTGTTCTATGGTCCTGCCAGCCATAAATGGGAAAAGTGTTAATTTTTATCACAGATCTGCTCGAAGCTTTTTCACTTTTATCTAATTAATATCAAGTTATAGAATTAGTATTTCAGTTTTATAGTTCTGCTATCCATAAATAGGCAGTGTTAATTTTCCTCACAGATCTCTCCAACGCTCTTTCAATTTTGTCTATTAACATCAAACTATGGAATTAACATTTCTGTTCTATAGTCCTGTCACTTTGTGGCCCCCAATGGGCAAAGTGTTAATTTTTCCAACATTCTTTCAATTTTATTTGCTAATATCAAACTATAGAATTAATATTTCTGTCATCCATAAATAGGCAGTGTTAATTTTCCTCACCAGCCCTCCTTTACTTGTATCTATTAACACCAAATTATAGAAAATAAAAAACAGCGGGGATTCGGTGCCCAAAGGGTCACGGAGTACAATTTTACGAGGTTCGTCAGATTTTGATCGTCGTTTTGGTAAATAAATTTTGGCGTCGATACGATTTTGGGTCGAAAAAGCTACGGGGCGGCGAGTGTCGAGAAGTTTGCTCTATACATATATCGGGCTATAAATATACGGAAGAAATGGTAATGCGGCACATGGCGGAACGTCAATGGCCAAGGATTCGGGAGGGCAGGAGCCCGGGCCAGGTAAACGGCCCGTACGTTGAACCGACGAATGACCTCCGACAACAACGGCCCCCGTTTTCGGTGTCGAAATCACCGGTGCGCCGGAATAACGCCTTTACGGCCTCGTGCTTCTGACTTTTACGACCGGCCGTTAAATGAATCCTCCACCATCCCAGCTGAGCTCCCGAGCTTGCTTCGGATGCAAAATGGAACACAGGAACAACACCGGCTCGCGATGGGTCTACATAACACGTCGGGGAAAGTACGACTGTAAAACAATGACGTTATTTGCTCGATACATCGTCTGATTTACTCTAACACGAAACACCGCCTAACGAAACGCATTTGCCACTTCTGTTACTCTGCATCGAACATCCACGAAATATTCTGGTCACCTTGTATGTATATTATGTTTGTAAAAACGTGAAACTTCAATATTTAGTCTCCTGGAGCTCGAAGGATGCTGAAATAGATTTAATTATGCTCTTTTTGGCGCATTTGAACGTAGAAAGATCGCAGTTTGCTTGAATCCGGTGTAGGTGGCGATTTCTATTTTCGGTGATGTTATTTGCTCGATACTTTGAGCTTGATTTACTCTTCAAGTATGAAATATTGCTTGACGAAACGCATTTGCCACTTCTGTTACTCTAAATCGAACATCCATGAAATATTCTGGTCACCTTGTATATTTGTAAAAACGCAAAATTTCAATATTTAGTCTCCTCCAACTCGATGGATGCAGAAATAAATTTAATTACGCTCTTTTTGTCGCGTTTGAACGTAGAAAAATCGCAGTTTGCTTGAAACCGGGGTAGGTAGCGATTGCTATCCCCGCGCTAGACATTGCAGACGAGCGCGTTACTTGAAAGCGGGCGCTGCTGTAGAGTCGATCGAGGAGTTGTGGTAATTTTCTTGGATTCGCCCCGAAATTTGGAAAATAATCTTCGCGAAACACACGTACACGGATAACTCGCTTAGTCATCGACCGTGTTACAGTGGTTGTTCGGCGATGTTCTGGCGCCGACCGGAGGCAACAGAAGACGAGGGATGAAAAAGAAAGAAACGGAAAGGACCTCGTAAACCGGCCTGCTGGAGACGTAACATTACGTCTGCTGAATTCCGGGGAAGAAAACCTTTTTATTTTAGCCGATTCGTGAAAGGAATCTCTGCACCCGGTATATTTAATCTAGAAAGTATATTCTTCCCTAAAGTTCTCCACAAAAGTTACGAATAACATATTTAGTCGTAGCTTTTATTCTTCCACGCCAGTGTCGGCAATGATATATGAATAAAGGTCAACGATCTCATACGTTCTTTAAACAAACTAAAACAGATATTTCTGAAAATTATAAAACACAAAATATCTCTTTTTTCTGCGCCACGATCGCGCCTCTATCGTTCTTTTTCCTCACTCGTCGATTCTTTCCCGATTATCCGTCGATAATACAGAGTTACCGACCCAGCATTTAACAACTAATTACCGACGATTCTTGCACCCCGTCGATACCAAACGCCATCCAGGCGCGTACCCTTCGAAAATTCTTTTTCCACGGGAATTCGACCGCCGCGAATCCCCTTTTCATCCAATTACGCGCGAGGGATTAAGGCTCGCGTCCCCCCTGGATGCGAATCCGGGAGACTATTACCCCCACGGGTCGTCTGGACAATTGGAAACAGTCGGAGGAACGGGGCTGTAGGAGAAACGAGGGTGCAGCGGCGTCGACCCAATGAGAACGGGGAATTTTCAGGGACAGTGGCGGCAGGAGCTTCGCGCGGAGAGGGGATTAGGGGGCGGGGGGAGGGAGAGAGAGGGGAATACGGTCAAGAGAAGGGTCCTCGGGATGCGGTCGAAGACACGAGACACAGAGCTGCCGCTCGTTACATAAGTAAGGTAAAGGATCTCCTCTTCTGCTCTCCTTGAGCCGATCCACATCCGCGATTATGCCACTTTCCATCGACCTCGCTTCACCTCGGTCTTGTGCGTGTGCTGTGACGAGCACGCGCGCGCCCGCCACAACGGAAGTCCGACCACCCGGCGATTTCCTTCCCGGACCGATCGAATCCTAGACCTCTCTCGTTAATTGAAGGACACTCGACGACGTTCCCCGTCCCCCTTAAGTTCGTTTTTTTCAACGATATTTCATTTTCCGGCTCGAGTTCGATCGCGGGACTAGGTCGTCGCTTGACCCAGTGCTTCTCAAGCGTCCCTTTTCACCAATATTATTTAACATAAACAATTTTTTAACCTTCCTCGGTAAAAGTAAACGTCTGACCGGATGTTGAGAATGAATTTTGATTCTTCGAGCAACACTTTCCCTCACGGTAGCAATATAGCGATTGGTCATTTAAAAAAATAGCATCGTTTATAATTATTTTTTAAGAAAGAGGGGGCGCGTTTCGTCCTGGTGTGTTAGTGGACTCGTCAGTAAGGCTTTCTAGTTTTTTTTTTAACTCGTATTCATGCTTCCTCTGCAGTACCTTGGCGCCTTATAACCTGCACTTAAAAACGTTTGTTAGGTTCTGGAATGTTTATGAGGATATTGTGATTTTCCTTGGGTCAGGGCTCGAGGGAAAACTTTCAAAAACCTCGTTTAGAAGGCTTTCTAGCAGGCCCTGGTGTGTATATATAGCAACCGAGGGGTTGGTCGAGCGCTTGTGAGAGCGCGAGCCCTCTGGTGGCGAGCACGGGAGGCGACGCCACGTTAAAAATTTAATATCAATATTTTTCTTATTTATTTGTAGGCACCGTTTATCGCCACGTTGAAAATAATAAAATTTAATCTCCAACGCGTCACTAAATGCAAATGTCGCTGGAGCTCCCGTAAAAAACCAATATGGCGGCCACGAGGATCGCAAAGAGCGACGAAACTCGCGTCGAAGGCTCCGCCGGAAGTCTGTACGCGATCCCCCCGTGGTATCAAAGCGCAGTAACGTAATTTCATCGTAATCAAACGTCGGTCAGAGTTTCAAAGGAACCGCTGGCCCTCTCATCGCGGTCTCAGATTATGTAAAGCGATTCCCGGGCGCTTCTCGACGGCCGTCTTGCATCGCGGACCAATTTGTTACCGCGGTTTTTACGGAAAACCAATTCCTTCGCGGCCGTGTCCGTTCATTTTTCTCTCCTCTCCCCCCCTCCTCCCACCTGAATCGTACGGTCGTCTTGGTCGGTTCCGGTGTAAAGTTAATTGGCGTGGCGTGCTCGCGGCTACTCGATTTACCAAGAGTTTTTAATTAAGCCCGGCTCGCTCCGGGGAACGAAAACGTACAGGAATTTTTCTGCAAGTAACTGTTACGTGTTTTATGCCACCGCGAGCCCGCGATACGAATCTTCAAGGTCGTAAATTCTCTTTTTTAATATTACCGGCGATAATATCCCCGGTAACAGGCTCGTTAATTCGACCCGCGCGCATTTCGTCAATTACGTATCGCCTCTCGTTTCTCTTTTTCCTACGCTGCTGGCCGGCGAGGAGTCACGAACCTTCGGTTTTGAGGATCTTCGGACCGATGGACGCGATAGACTTTTACAGTCCTCGTTTATGTCTAGCTACTGTTTCCCCTGTAGAAAAGGCGACATCAATCGGGGGTGGTGCCATTGACACCGTGCCCCGGAATAACCTTCGACGATACGAACGACCTTGGTGCAACCGGAAGTCCGAGATCGACAGGATGCACGAAGAAGTGTGTTGAAGGAAAAGGGGAACCACCGAGGCCTATGCTCGATATCATCTTCTAAGTTCTATAGCCCACGTCTCGTTTTACTTCTTCCGTCTACTATTCGGGCCTTTTCTTTTCGTAAACATGCAGAAAACGCAGCGCGAATCCATGCGAATTGTGATTAGAAATTGTTCCCACGAATGTCGTTCGCCTTGCTTCAATAATTCATCGTTTCTTTCGCGATGGCGGTCTGTGGGCCGACGAATTGTGTGGCCATCTAGCGGAAATACCCGGGAACTTAAACGGGCCTCGTATATAGTTGAAACACTATACCCAATTTTAAACCTCGTCCAGTCGGATTGTGGATCCGTTTGGAGCAGTGCAAACCTTTATTTTGATGAATAAATGACACGCGAATATGGCGACACGTAAGTCCAATTGGAAACCTTGCATCGAAGCAATGGATTTATAAACGCTTCGCTTTCGACGGCGAAATGCCCAAGTTTATCGAGCAATAGTTTCTCCTGGTGTTATAATTTCTACTTTTCTATGTGCATGAACATACTTTCACATCGTGTTAGGAGTAATATACATTAGCTTGAGATTATATACGTCGGGCAATTTAATAAACTTAGTCTTAAAGTTTATTATTACAATAACAAATTGCATTATATACGAAGGATTGCACCGCTATCTACGTCGAGGACGTTCAAGTTTGTCGAGAAATAGTTCGCAATCTTCGACGCGAGATAGCGCCTACATGACTTGCGATTGGTTAATATTGAAAGATTACATCGTTATCCACCATCTACCTTCTGTCGTTTTTTCCGTAAAAATTAATTTTTGATGTTTAATAAATTTGTTTGACACTCAACGGGAATGTTGTCTAATACTTTCTTGTAGTTATACACGAGATCTACTTCAGAAATAAATTTCAATGAAATATATTCACTTTGTAGGAGCACAGACTAGGTATACCTCGTGTTATACGAGGTTTGGTATGTTAGAAGAATTAGAATTAACGTTTTGTTTGTTGCTAAGATGGATATTGGTAGAAAAATGTCTGCCATCTAGCGTCGAAGACAATTATTTCACGACAAACTTGGACGTTTTCCCACCAGGTTTTTTTACATTTTACTTTCGAGAAAAAGAATTTTTTTTCTCGAAAATGCGTAGGATTTCGAGGGTACGTGTATTCATCAAAAGTGATTGTAATCGATCCCCGCGACCAAAAATAATTTTTCTAGAACGATTCCATATATCGATCTCCACGAGTAGTTTAATCCGTTCACTGTCAGACGGCCATGCAAGACGTCTGACTCTAAAAGTATGGGTCGGATAGATAAATTTTAAAAGGATATAGACGAATACTTTATTCAAGTACAAACATAGCGTTTTACTTTAGAACAGTAACTTGAGTTAGCAGGTATTGTCACAAAACTGTTTTACCCAGTTATACTCCATTTTACCTGAAGTATAAGGTACGGCTACATGTACTTTTGAATTTTCCTACAGTCCTCCGGTGGCCTCTGCACACCGCTGACCACTTCTGATACTTCTGACAACGTATAACGATTAATATGGGCTACTGCAAGCCTCTCACAGCCTCTGCTGGCTTCTGCTGGCCTCTGCTAACCTCTGCCAGCATGTGCGGGCTTCTGCCTGCCTCTGCTGGCCCCTGCTGACCTCTGCTGACCACTTCTGATACTTCTGACAACGTATAACGATTACGATTGGCTACTGCTTGCGGCTGCTTGTCACTGCTTGCCACTGCTGGTCTCTGTTGGCCCCTGCTGACCACTGCTGACCACTGCTGACCACTCCCGATGCTTCTGACAACGTATAACGATTACAACTTGTTACCGCCTGCCCCTGCTGGTCTCTGCATGCCTCTACATCCCCCTGCTGACCACTGCTGACCACTGCTGACCTTTGTTATCAACTCCTGACATGATGTATAAGTATTCAAGCCTTGTATAATGTAAATCTATGGCAATAAATGATATAATTTAACAGAATTCTATGTGTTCTCATCATTTTTACCTTTCTTTCCTCTCCAAATCATTGCCTTAGTTTTAAGAGACCGTTTTCCGGTTAAAATTGGATTCCCAAAGTGCCCAGCTCTCGTACTTGCTGCCAAAATCAAAAATTAAAAGTCCTGAAACAACTGGAAAGTCCTGAAACAGTTGAAAAGTCCTGAAACAGCTGGGAAGCCCTGAAACAACTTGGAATTTTGGAAATCCCGAATCAGCTGGAAAGCCCTGAAACAGCTGGGAAGTCCTGAAACAACTTGGAATTTGGAAATCCCGGGCCAGCTGGAAAGTCCTGAAACAGCCGGAAAGCCCTGAAACAGCTGGAAAGGCCTGAAACAACTGGGAAGTCCTGGCATTTCTTGGAAACACCGAAAATTCTTGAGAACTAGGAATTTTTAGCAAAGTTCTGAGTTTCAGGACTTCCGAGGTGTTTCAGGACGTCCTAGTGGTCTAAGGAGTTTCAGGGAGTCTTATAACTAAGGTAATGATTTGGAGAGGATAAGAAAGGTAAAAAATGATGAGAACACATAGAATTCTTTGTAATTATATCATTTATTGCCATAGATTTACATTATACAATGTTTTAATACATATATATCATGGCAGAAGTTGTTAACAAGGGTCAGCAGTGGTCAGTAGTGGTCAGCAGGGGGCAGCAGAGGCTTGCAGAGGCAAGCAGAGACCAGCAGGGGCAAGCAGTAACATGTAGTAATCGTCCCCCTTTGTCGGAAGCATCGGTGGTGGTCAGCAGTGGTCAGCAGAGGCCAGCAGAGGCCAGCGGAGGCTGCGAGAGGCTGCCAGTAGCCAGCGGTAATGGTTATACGTTGCCAGATATATCAGAAGTGATATCTGAAATGATATACATATGTACCCTCATACATAGGAATAATAAAAAAGAATTTATTTTTGTTCAATAATTCAAATATGGTCAGGGGGTCTTAGAACGTGTATTTCCGTAAGAAAAATTTCACAAAATTTTGTTTCACTATAGTACCTTGCTTATGTCCGTCTACATAGGTCGGAAAGTAAAAATACCTGGGCAGTCGAGACTTGGAATCGTATACCGTGGACGTGAGGTCGAACTTCAGTTGTTCAAGAGCGAGAAGGCAAATGAGCCTTCCTCTCTCGACTCCCACGAGGCGGTACGAAATTACTTCGGGCAGCTTCGGAGAATCGAGAGAGAGGGCATGCGTCGGTTTGCCTTTGTCGACTCTCCGTAACTCCACGAGGTCACGTACGCGTGATCTGGCATAGTGTGAGGCGTCACTGCTCGCCACTCCACTCGTTGAACTCCCTGTTTTTGGTGTAACCCCGTCGCCGGCAAAGAACTCGAGACGCTTTGTAAATAATTACATTTATTTATTTATCAATTTCACAGTATAACAGTGTATACGATACGCTGAATATAGAATAATCTCTGCTCTTTATCGTTTACTAATTAAGGCGATTAGTATGTGAGTGATCGGTAAGAACATACATTATATAGCACGTGTAATTTATTGGTCATCACGATCCTTTGTTGTTCGCGCGTCGAACGTTTCCCTTCATTACTCGTTTATCTTTTTTAATTCCCCAAACATTTTCGCGAGTATCGTTTTGTTCATTCGCCTCTACAGTGGTTCGCCCGTTCGCTTGCACGCTTATATTTTCCCATCCATCGCTTCGACGATGTATAATAAATCTCTATCAAGTACCAATGTAACGATAATTATTTCGTATGACGTTAGTTTACCACCTATGTACTCGTGCGGATAAGGCCACAATTAGTGTTTTCCGCGTGTGCGTGCCCGCACACTCGTCCTGGTATGCGTGTCGGTGAGTGCGTGTGATTAATCGTGTTTTTCTTTATTTTTTTAATACTATTATTTATCCAGTTCGTTCCGACCGGTGCTAAAATGCCCGCAATTCGCGTGGTCGTTCCGATCGCGATCAGCTTTCTCCCTCGAGAGGAAAAAAAATGAAAGAACAGCAGCGATCGAGGAAGAAGGTCGATCGTCTTCGATGGAAACCATCTTCGTTGATGCACGAACACATACACTGTTCTTTTAGCTCGGGTGCAGAGGCTCGTTTACGATGGAAGCGTACGCAAAGAGGCTAGGGAACCCCAGGTGTTCTCTGATCTCTGAACCTCGATGATCCAAAGAATCTAAAGATCTAGGTTTTGGTCCTCGACGACCCCAGTCCACGGAGACCTAGGTTTCACGAACAAACGATTCTAGGACTTCTAAATCTCTTACGATCCCAGGAGTCTGGGTCTCCAAATAGTTCTCAACATTCGAGACACTCGAGTCCTAGAATCCCCAAGAGACCTAAGTTCCAGGAATCGATGGTTCTTGGACCTCGCGGGACTTGGGAATCTGGGTGAATAACAATTCCTTAATGCTAGAGATTCAGCGACTGGTAGTGATTTCAATTCTGGGACCCTTTAAATGTTCAGGAGTCGGTTGTTGGGACTCACGGGGCTTAGAAGTCTGGGTCAGTAACAATTCCTTAATGCTAGAAATGTCTCGACTCCTAAACGTTTAAATGTCAGAATCGTTTCGAGTCTTGGACGCCAAGGGGACTCCCTAAATTCTAGAACCGTTTTGGGGGGCCTAGAGTCCAGGGATCCGGTGATTCTTGGACTCCTAGTTACTTGGTCCTAGTATCCTTTTTGGTTCCAGGTTCTTGAACTCTCGATACTCGGAAGTCTAGGTCGATAAGATGTCTCGCGGGTGCTTAGATCCTAGATTGATCTTTAGAGTCCTAGGTTCCAGGGCTTAAGACTTTAGGTAACGATCCCTTACGTAAAATATTTAATTCCCAGAATCCCTTGCCCTCCAGAAAAGTTCTAAAAATCCCGAAGGAAGCCTCCTGGGATTCCCACGCGGCCTCGGGCGTGCCAACTTCCGTTTCACCCCGTTTCCAAGATGTTTGTCGCGAGTCTTACTGTACAATATCGCGTCGAGAAGGGTGCAGTGGCGTGTTTGTGTCTCTGTGTGTGTATGTGTGTGTGTGCATGTATGACGTGTAAGTGTGTGAGTTTAAGTTAAATAAAAATAACATTATTACGTACGTATATCAAATTTAGTTTCCATAAGAATATATAGGATTCATCTTCGTTTGCCTTCGAAAGCGAAGAAACAAAAACAATAACGTTAATAACAATTCACGACGGTGTACGCGGGCTTTCTTCGTAATTTTTTTCTGCTTCATCTTCTAATCAACACAATGTAACGACTCCGACGACAGTAATTACGTTAAGGCGGTTTGATTCTCGGACTCTTCAAGGCATTTGTTCGTTCCGTCCCTCCGTCTTCGAGGCTACCTCGTCGCGCGGAGGGATCGAGAAATCACAAAACGACTACGGCCTCTAAAACTACGAAGCTCAGAAGCGCCCGGTAACCGGTCTCCACGATCGACACGAAGGGATCGTCCCTGATCAATGATTTTTTTTTTTTGTATTTTTTTTTTTGGTTTTTTTGTGTTCGATTTCGATAAGGACTACCGCGTTTCCCGGCTATGGGTATACAGAGAGACATATATATATATTTCCTGAAAATATAATCGAGGGGGTGGGAGAAACACGGTAATTTTTATCGTCGCTTGGATTCCGAAAGTGTGGTCGAACAACAGCGTCGTGATCAAAAAAATCTTTGTTCGCGATTTAAATTCGATCGTTTCTCATTTTTTTTTTTTTTTTGTGTTTTTTTCTCTTTTTTTGGAACGGAGTTCTTCTCGTTCCTAACGGGGGGGAAGGGGGGGAGAATCGTGACGTTGGTTTCGTGTCCGCGTAGAAACGATGGACCGTGACGTGGATCTTCTCGACGGTCCAAAAAAGTTTTGATCAAATTTTCCTTCCTCCGTCTTCGTTTTTTCGGTATCGTCGCCCCGCGCGCCCTTACATCAGCTTCATCTTGGCACACTCGGGGCAGATGATGTCCTCGTTGTCGGTGATGAAACCACGCCCGACCAGCGAGGTTTTGCAGCCCGCGCAGATGAAGCAGTCGTTGTGCCAATGCCTGTCCTCGAAAGAGATGAAGCGAGTGCCGCCAATGCCTGGAAAATAAACGATCGGATTATTCCAATTATTCTGGTAGATTCATCAAATGTTCCCTGTCTCTTGTCGTAGCTTTCAGCCGTTTGAAATTAATTGATTTTGCCTACGAAGTGTATCTATTATAGTCTTGCACCTAACGTGAGCCAAACTAATATTAATAATACACTCCCCCGTCAGTTTTGTCTCAAGTGTGTGACTGCTTTAGACGTGAGGACGTTCATTGGTCAGACGAAGAGTTTATATATGTACGAGTACTTGCGAGAAAGTGTAACCCTCTCCTGGCGAGTGCAGGAGTTACCAAAATGACCACTGTTAGCGACAGCTATCTATCAACGATGTAACGAAGATGTGTCTCAAGTGAACACATGGACAAGATGGTTTCAAATTTCATTTATCATTGCAAATACATATAATTCAATTATTTCGACGATCCACTAAAGAACTAGAGACGAATTTTAACGAGAATGCAATTTTGCACGTTTTCAAAGTTGAAGATCGACGATTCTAAGTGTTTCCTCATTAAAGAGCTATCGATTGTGTCTTTCAAGTATTTGCTCGAGCAGAACTGACCGGTGATCGGTTTGGAGCAAGCGGTGCATCTCTTGGCGAACAGCTCGCCGAAGCAGTCGGCGCAGTAGGGCTTGTCGTCGCGCGACGTGAATCGCTGGCCAGCAAGGGAGTTGTTGCAGTTGCTGCAGGTGAAGCAATCTCTGTGCCACGGCTCGTTCTTGTACGTCACGCCACCGCTGGTGATGATCTGCAAGACACCAAAACATCTTCGTTTACCTAACGCGAACTCTGTTCCAGAATAATTAATGTCAACCCGTTCACTGTCCATGACTCGTATACGGGTCATAGCTCCACGCTTTTGGATACAACGTTGAGAGACTGGACAGTGAATGCTGTCGCGATCTGGACTACGATTTTTTTAAGTTTGGAAATTTCTATCGAGGGAAAGTACTTGTTCAGAGGGCGGGAAAGGACCGTACCTTGTTGCACTTGACGCATCGTGTAGCGAACTTGTCCTCGTAGCATCCGGCGCAGTAGATCTCCTGCTCGCGCGGAATGAAGCTCTTCGTTCCGATCGGATTCTTGCAGACGACGCAGCAGAAGCACTTCTCGTGCCACTGTCTGGTCTTGTACTCCATCTTCTTCGTACCTGAAACGCGATAGGCGATCCTCAGACATTGCAATTACACTCAACGCTTAGAAATTCGAGAAACGAGTCAAATAGATCTAGAGTGCCCTGTTTATCTATGATAAATCCCATGAGATTTTTGCAAGATCACCATTAATTATGATTAACACGTTCACTGCCCGTGACTCGTATATGGGTCATATCGCAACGCTATTGGATACGCCACTGAAGACACTGGACAGTGAACCCGTTATATGATAACGTGACTGTGGATCTTGCGTAAAATTTGAATAATCGCACAGTCTGTCAGACAGTTTATATATCGATGAGGTTGTATCGTTAAGTTATTATGCATTTAGACTACGCTAGAATTATAAATTCAAAGTCACACCCCCGGCAGAATTGTATTTTGTTTTATAAATTTGCATTTAGATAGATTTCATAGAGAGTGGGTTCCAGGTGGATTAATTCCACGTTCTAGAAGAGATTCATGGCGCGAAACAGGCTGAGGAACCTCGACTCCGGACTTATTCTTAGTTTCAGAGCCATCTGTATGTTCATTCGGTGATTCGACGCATCTGCAATGTCTCACGTTTTCGTGTTGCACCAGAGACACGAAGGGGTGGAATATTTTAGAGTCTGGACCAGGAGTCGTCAAACTTTGTACGAAAAGGGTTAAATAAGCTAAATTTCGAGTTCTCGCGACCAAAGGGCAATATTAGTCTAGCTAAAATAAAAGTTAACCCTCTCTGTTTCTTACAATTTTTGTCGTTGGTCGTCTGTGACCCAAGGATACTAAACGAAGGGTTATACTTGCCATTCGGAGCGGTTCTGTTCGAAACAGTTTGTAAACTACCGGTTCAGAGAATTTTGTTCGCGAAAGTGGCCAACGTCGGCGTCGAGGGATGCATTTGAGCGTCGAGACGATCGCGTGAGGCGCCATTGCTTCGAACTGTTCTAGGTTCGCGTGCACGAGCTAATCCCCGGGGGATGAATTCCCCAGGAGTTCGCTCGATCGACGACGGGGAACCCCCCCTTTCGAGGAAATGCAATCGTACGGAATCTGAGCTTGTAAAATAACAGGCTGCAAACGACTCGAGACACGCGACAAATTACAAGCTTTAAAATTTAATGGACACCCCGTGAATTGTGTTTGTTAAAAACGACTCCGAAATAGTTTCTAGCTTTACGAGGGTGTTTTAAACGCAATCGTACGGAATCTGAGCTTGTAAAATAACAGGCTGCAAACGACTCGAGACACGCGACAAATTACAAGCTTTAAAATTTAATGGACATCCCGTGAATTGTGTTTGTTAAAATAGTTTTTGGCTTTACGAGGGCGTTTTAAACGGATGTCGGAAGAGCACGACCTTTCGTGTTGTTGGAAAGTTCATCGACACGCGGAAAAAGTCGCGCAAAACCGGAAGATGGCCGGCGAAGATAGGTGTCATCTACGACGTAGAAAAGTTTCGTTCGACTTTCTAGTCACGGTCGCTAAATAACCTACATCCAACGATCGAGTGCGCTTGTTTCGATGGAATTGGTCGAAGCAAGGGTGGAAATACTTCCATTTTATCGAACCGTTTCAGAAAATATCGAGAATTTTTAATAGCTTTCCGATCGCTTTAAAAGCATATTGATTGCTCCTTCGACCGCATTCCTCCGTTTTATTTCCCAATTTTGTCCAATTTTACGCGGAATGCAACAATATACTTGCAATTTATGGCGGTACTAGGTGTAATATAAATTTACCGTGTCGTCGAACGTTCGCTTCCCACGCGAAATCGCGCTTTCGACGATCGCCTCGACGTGTCGTATACGGAAAGATTCTATAAGGAAACGGAGATTAGTCACGACGGAATATGGAACCGTGCATTTATGGTCACGGAACGGCCTAACGCGTGGTCAATCGTTAATTTTACGAGCGTTTTTCCTGCTCGCGGACACGAGACTCTAAATTGCATGCTGCAACGGAAATAACATTATCCTGAAACGTGAATTTTATTCCAACGATTGATAATCACCGATGTGTGGCAATTTATTCGAACGCTTAAAATGTAACTGTGTAGGCGTAAAAAAAAATTTCCATTCTTCTTTTAACATGTTCACTGTCAGATCAGAACCATACAATATTCTACAAAAGTAAAATTTTTTATTTTAGACCATTGCAAGGTACACACACAGTTCTTATTTTCGTAACCTTGTTAAAATTCACAAATTCATGGAAAAATTTCAACAGGAGATTCTAGACACTAAAAGAAGACGAAAATCAAGAATATCAATTTCTCGATCGAGGCTTCGTTAAAAAGTTATAAAAAAAATTAAATTAAAAAATTTCAAATCATTCTGAAAAAATTATGTTCGGTTCCGGGGATCAATTATAATCATTTCTTATGAATAGACATACCCCCGAAATCCTAACCATTCTCGAGAAAAAAATTAATTACTGAAGCTATAATGTCTGACCATAACTGTCTGCTACCCTGAAAATTGAAAAGTTTCGAATCATTCTGGAAAAATTATTTTCTGTTGCGGGGGACAATTACAATCGTTTTTTGTGAATAGACATACCCCCGAAATCCTACGCATTTTCAAGAAAAAAATTCGAGAAGGTGTGAAATTTTTCGGCGAAAACAAAAATTTCAAATCGTTCTGGAAAAATTATTTTCGGTTACAGGGGTTAATTACAATCGTTTTTGGTGAATAGACATACCCCCGAAATCCTGCGCATTTTCGAGAAAAAAATTCGAGAAGGTGCTGAAATTTTTCGACGAAAAAAAAATTTCAAATCGTTTTGGAAAAATTATTTTCGGTTACAGGGGTTAATTACAATCGTTTTTGGTGAATAGACATACCATCGAAATCCTGCGTATTTTCGAGAAAAAAATTCAGTTCGGGCGGAACTTCAAATATTAATAATTTTTAAACGAAACCTCCATCAACAAATTGGTATTCTTGATTTTTGTCTTATTTTGGCCTCTAGAATCTCCTATTAAAATGTTTCCCAGGGAAACTTCAAAATTGTTCATGGCGTTTCAAAAAAAAAATTCACCATTAAATAGTGTTTCAACTAGGATCTAACCTTTCAGAGAAAGTACCATAATAATGATAGGCGAGCAACTAAACTACTGTCCCCGCGTTTCAATGGATAAGCAGGTCCCCAAAGACTTTGGTATTAAATATCTCGGTAAACTATCGAACGTATTTTGAGAAAACCAGGATCCAGGATCGTTGGCTTCGGTATTTTAAATTTTATCGTTATGCAAAATCTCATTGACCAGCTTGTGCGCGGCGGGACGTCGTTAACGGATGACCAGAGAGGATCCTCTCGCTCGTGGGCGTACGAGCGTCTTTCTTTCTCTGTCTTCCTCTTTCTTTCTCTCTTGTGTCAAGGGCAAGTCGAATTAACGGCCAGCTATTCCGAAAGGTGATCTAATAGGACCGATCGTCGTAGATGACCTCTCACAAGGGGACCTCGCAGTCGTCGAAACTGCTTTCGAAACGATAGATATAATATTACAGTATGTAGTATCAAAAAACCCTAATAAATTTCTCACAATGAACCTTCATTTTCTAGATATTTCGATTTAAAATTTACTGCGTGTGTAATAAGACAAGTATTTTTTAATTTAGTTGACCAAATTTGGTCAAATCGGTATAACGATCAACTACCAAGCTTTTGGTCCCAGGTTCGAATCCCCATCAAGTTACCTTTTTTTTTTTTACTATTTTTAAATGCAAAAATATATTTTATTTATTACGCATGTATGGGATAAATATTAATTTTTAATTTGAGACCGTAACGAGAAAGCTTGGAACGAAGTTCGAGGCGTCGAGGGTCGCGCGAATAATTGTTCGAGCGTCGTGCATCTGCCGCCGCGTACGTCAATTATAATCAACGCTTTATCATCCCCGACGCGAGTACGGTGATAAATGAACAGCGCACCGTTACGTCTCGATGGTAGTCGATCAATCAGACGTCGCAAATTAGCACGCGGACAAATGAGATTTACGATCCGTTCGCGTTCGTTCGATTTCAACGCTCGCTGCTCGTCGACTTCATTACACTTTTGCGAACCAACCCCTTATCCGCTGTATTTCGCCCCCCTTTCACTCTGCTCGACATACTTTTCATTTGGTTAACGAGATCGGTGAATAAAAAATTCTCAAATCGAGCAACAGGTTTCTTCGATCTATTCGAAGTCATCGCGGAATTTTAATCCTGGAAAATATTCTTGTTGGAACCTTTTCGAACGTGTTATAGTGAGAATAGAATGGAAGAAATTAATTGTCAACCACGACTGTGATTGTTATTATGTGAACTGGCCCCAAAGTAATTCCAGGAATAATTAAAAACGAAACAAAGCGAGGAAATAGATTAAAATAATTGCTGGATGGAAAAAGTCGTAGAAAATAAGGATGAATAAAATATCTGGCGGTGCCGAAAGGGGGGTAGGTTGGAAGATCGTTGCAGTAATGAGAAGAAAGGTAGGAAAATGAGGCCTGGAATTTATATGCATTGTGCAAACGAATAACTGCGAGTGGAACGAGAGTGTGAAAGATTTCTATGGATAAGATTGACAAGATAGGATGAACCGGTGCTAAAGAGTCTTACGATCTTCACGATGCCGAGAGAAATCTGTCTTTTCACCGATGAGATGCCTCTTCGCGGCAGCTGTGCTCGTTAACAATTAATTCGATACTAAATCTTTGCTAGCAGTGGATTGATTTACACAGAACAATTCAATTATATTCACCATCGTGTTACTGAACACTAAGAAATGTTTGTTTCATTCGTACATGGGCGAAGAAAATTAAATTTTTTAATTGATTTTAATCGAGGGTCGACGATGACAAATTTCTTATGCTTCAGAGTATACAAGCGGGTAATATTTTCTTTAATCTAGCCAATACTTTTACACACAGAACGTACGATGGTAATCGATGTGAAATAATTTTTTATTAGTGGTCTACACTTCAGAATTTCTGAAACTATCCATTCACCAATTTTTAAAAAATTA